TAAAAATAATTACAAAATGCACTACAGTACAGTAATGCAATGCATTCATTATGTATATATGACATATAGTAATGAAATAATTAGAGTATACCATAATATTACTGTAGTATACACCATGTTATACAGCAGAAACAAATATTGTAGATGAAACAATGGAGCAGGAACAAGGAAGATGAGAAAAGATAAACAAAGGAGACAATGCTAATTGAGCATACAGGGCACCGGTAGGTAGAGCAGGGAGGAGGCAGGCTGAATAAAGGGAACTGGAAAGCCCTGCAGGACAACAGGGCTTGCAAGTGGGGAGTGGGGAGGAATTTAGGAAACCTGGGGGAAGGGAATTTCACAGGCAGGGTACCACCCTGGAGAAGGCTCAGTCCACAAAGTTACGTGGTTCAGATGGAAGAAGACTGAGAAGGCCAGGAGGATGATCAGAGGGAGGCCAAGGGCGTAAGAGGGGGGCCGAATTAATGAGGATGGGGGCTCTTCGGCTTGTGACATTCTGGGGCCCTACCAACAGAAAATACTTTGGAGTATACAAAATACTAAGTGCTTACACCTTGCAGCTAGGGAAGTGGTAGCAATAAGGGTTAAAATATGAGCAAACTTCTAATGTTTTTAATTGGCTTTGGTGATAGTCTATGTAACTGATTGTGACTGAGGGAGATGAAGTAAAGGGGGAAAAAAGCACTGTTTTTTTACGAGTGCCATTTACAAACTCGGCACTTAAAAACTGCACGTAAAAATACAGACACTTTGCCACGTTTGGGTCGCTACCAACCCGGCACTTTTTTGGCAAATAAATGACCATAAAACAATAATAATGGTATCTACTGACAACATTGAAGGACCCTCCCTTGCACAACCTTGTAACCTTCGTGCTGAAAAACATTAAAGCCAATTAAGAATAAGCAGGTGTGACAGTCGTACATGTAAACAAATGGAGGAGAAAAAAAAACACAATTCACTTGCACTCCAGAGTTTTACTCAACTAAGGTGCCTGCTGTGAAAGAGAAAGATTGCTGAGAACCTCATAAGAGAGGAGAATGATCTTGAAAGTCACAGAGTGCAGGAGAAATATGAGAAGGGGTCTGAACACGGGTGTGAAGGTGGGCTGCAGAATTCTGGACCAGCTGAATCTTGTGACCCTGGAGGCATTCCCCATGAGCAGGGATGACCGAGATGAAGGTATGGAGGAGGAATTCAGAGGCGGGCTTGGAGAGAAAGGAATTGATTTTGCCTTGCAGGAAGTTGCAGATTGAAAAAGAAGATTTTGACTGTAAAGGAAACAAGGGGCATCAAACAAAAGAGAATCACTTACAAGACACCCTCAGGTCCATGCAGGTGGACACCAAAAATAAAGTCTCCCAAACCTAACCACTGCAACCAGGCGACAGATGAGATGACCCTGCTTAGTCAGGTGTCTCGCACTGCGGTTCAAAAACAGTCATATTTTTAATACCTCAGATACCAGACAGGATACCATAGAAGCCTTCGGGCAACCATGTGTATATAAGCATGCTTTCACATATATGCTTCTTAAGTGTATTTTATCAATTTTAACCCTGCAGTCACTTAGCATATCGCTGGCTACATCAGATGTGCTTCCTGAACATCTGACTTGAACAAGTTCTCTCTGAATGCACCCTTATGAGGTTTCACTCGGGTGGCAGCAGACTAGTGTCAGCACAGTCATGCTTGCTGGGGGCCGTCCGCCTGTCTGATGTCCCAATGCACTGTGATGTCAAGGCTAGCTGTAGCTAAAATAGCCAGAACTCGGTCCGGTTTATTTTTATATAACATCCTTGACAACAACGCAGCCTCAGAGCCCTTAAAAATAGCAGCATTACAAGCAGAGTTAGGAGAATAAGACTCCTGGTGCTCTCTCGTCGCCTCGTCTCTTTTAATCGCAACGCTGATTCATTTCATCATTCATTGGTTCCTTCCTTTTTAGCGCAGGTCTTGATGTAATCCTGCGCTCTTTTCAGGCGGCAGCCAGCAGTTTAGGCAGTGAAGATTGCTGACAGACACAGCCACCAGGGAAAAGGAGGCTCAGTCAGGAGTTTTACGTAGGACGACATGCCTCTGGAAGCCATTCGTGACTAGAGACGGAGAACAAACAGGAGGGATTGTGTGTGTGTGTGTGTGTGTGTATGCACGGGCCGGTTTCAATAAAAGCGACCCAATGCTGCCCCCCACCTTCCACGGCTCCCCATCCAGGGCAGTCACTCCAAAATAGAGCTATCCTCCATGCCTCACTTGATGAGCTGCCCCTTCCAGTCCCTTCCTGGCAATCTCCCAGCAGCAGGGCTTCCCCAAATTCCACTGCAGGATAGAGTATGCAGTACCGCACTGACCTCGGGACCTCAGAGCACATGGGTGGGGGGCAGGGGTGTTACCATCTTACATTCAACCTCAGCCGCTCCTCTACTCCAAGGCATTCTTAAGATGTTCCAAGTCTGTCAGGGTGTCAGTAAAATGACACCAGTAGGGCTGCTGTCCTCCATATAACCAATAATAACTAAGAGGGATTGGGTGTGTACTGTGGTTACCAATGTGAACATTAGAGTAGGTAATCCAGACTAGCAAGCCTCCCTTCGGGACAAAGATGACACACTGATTGGGATTCGCCTTAAAACTGAATCAAAAGCAGCAACTCCAGGACCCCCCCCCCCCGTGCTGCCAAGCCTGGGACAGCGATGACACAGGGTGGGGGCCCAGGGCCCGGCGTGGGGTGAGGCCATGACATGCTAAGATTAGCCCGCTTCCAACAGGGAAGCACTGACAGAAGAGAGTGCCTTTCACGCACATTCAAAGAAAACAGGATCACCTTATTTTGACAAATTTTTATATTCACTTGATTGGATCCATGCTTTAAAATATGCGTTTTATTCCAGGTCACCATCTTATGTGGTATTACATAATATGTACACACAAGTTAGGCATGATCCAAAATGAACTGGTGAAGTTGCTCAAGTCTTTTCAGCCCAAGGCTTAATCAGATGCCTCCCTGAATGGCGACATGCTTCTACATGACTGGGCAGTTGGACTCATACCCGGGCAGGTTCATGGGAACACCATGAGCTGCTCATGTCAGCAGCGACCCATGCGATTAAATCAGCATCAAACTAATCCACATGCTCAGATCAAACACGGTGCCCCAGCACTCTCCAGGAGCACTCAAAGCCCTTGGAGATAACAAAATCAAAATCAAACCATCTTGTTATTTTTTCTTTCCCTCCTTGATGCCGGAGGTCTCATTACGCGGCCTTCACAGGTTTAGTATATAAGAAAGTGCACTTTCAAGGCGTGCAGGCCCCCGCATTTGGGAGCAATGGTGTATGCGTATGCGGCACGCTAGATGCCACAAAAATGTCTCATAAATGGCAACATAAAAACATTCAGAGCCTGAATATAATGATAAACAAGAAGCGGGCATTTGCCCAACTGGAGGAACATGCGAGAGTCTTGTTATGGTATCATCCAGTCTGATTCTTAATGAACTCATTCGTTATTTAAAAAAAAAAAAAGTCTAAAGTATATTTCAAGATAGCCGAAAACAAAAATTGGATTTCACTAAAGAATTTTTGTACTGAACAACTTAAAGCAAAAGGTAACAAATTAAAGCAAGATAGAGTGATAAGGTGTAAAAGCCCGACACTTCACATATTTGCCTCCATATTCATTTACAAATTTGTGTCATTTATTAATACCAGTTTTACCGGAGGTCAGACACCATGGGGAGGGTGATTTTTTTTGGTGCATGCAGTCCACTGCACAGAAGAGCAAAACGACTTAAATATAACTGAGACATGTTTAAATTCCTCCTACGGGGACATTTAGTTACACAAGCCGGAGTGGTGACAGCACAAAATTCACCTGTGACATTCACCAGGGGGGTGGGGTGGGCTTAATTAATTCTTCAGATCCCCTCCCAGGACTGCAGCATTTAAACCCGTCAGGTGCTGGTAGTCACGACTCCCGCCAGCTTGCGTGTGAAACGCATTAATCACCGTTTCTCTCCCTTGATCCTTGAAAATGCCCCCCTTGTGCCCCTTCCAACTTTAGTTGAAACCAAATACATGGCTCCTTAAAGGGCCGACATAATTTGCAAAAAATAATAATAAAATATATATTAAAAAAACCCGTTGCTTCATAATCAGTTAACATGTCATACATATAAAATTAGTCGACAAATAGCACCAAAGACAGCAAACGACATATTTGAAAGACAAACAAACATATTATATGCACGGCCATGCGGAGTTCCGGGTATGGACATACATAACATGTGCGCCTATATACTGGGGTCTCCCGACGTAGATATGCCGCAAATTCAAGTCGCGTTTCAGTGCGCATCGCAGCCCCGGAGACTGCAGGTTTCCTGTCTCTTAGAGAAGAATAAACCCGCCAATAAACCCGAGAAAAAACCCGAGAACCGCAAAGGCGCTTTTTTTTTTACAGCCCTTCCGTGTTACTGTTGCATTTCGCGTGTCGATTACTTCTTTGACAGCTGCTGAACAAAACTTACAGCGGCTACAGCAGGACCTTATCAATCATTCGGATAGCTACAAAAATGCGTTAAATCATACCGACCCTCTCCCGAAAAAAAAATCAAACAAAATAGTAAAATAAAAATTGAAAATGAACCGGAAACCAGAGGCAGCAGCTGGACGGCAATTTAAAGTGTAGGGAAACGTGGTCGGAGGTGTAGAGTGCCTATGTGCCTGGATAACGCCCTGTCAAAGAAATTCAGTCGTGTGTGTGCAGAGGGGTGTGTAAAGGACAAATGTGGAGATAATCATCGAATAACAGGGCTTAAACCCCGTCAATTGCGTCCAGCTGGCCGACGACGCCGAAGGGTCGTATCACCCAGGTTTAGGTCCACCCCTCAACGCCCCGAACTGAAGGCAGACCGGTGAATGTCAAAGTATTATAGCCCAGAAACCTCCGCTAACCCCCGAGGAAGAAAGAGACCCGGCTGCTGAGAAGCGGCATCTTACCTTTAATCGGCCGATCGGTGGTAGACTGCTTGTTCATCTCCTTTCCTGACATCTCCGGACTTCGTCCGGCAGCTAACGAGCTGAGACCGTCCCTCGGCGTAACCGGCGATGTGAATTTGCCAGCCGACTATGCTAGCTAGCGGTGATCTTTTCCGTTTTGGTCCCGAATAGTAGACCCAGGACACCAACCCCCCCTCCCCGAAATGAGACTCCTCGTCTAGGCTGGTTTCAAGATGAAAAAAACTATTGAGGGAAAGGGGAAAGGGGGAAACTCAGCTTCTGTCAACGAAATTGTGACTAATTTTATTTTTATTATTTTGCATTCGGTGTCCTTTAGTAGCTATCCAGCTGCTGTCAATTTCTATCAGAATCGACGAAGCCAGCGGAGGTACAAGAGGGGAAAAACTGTGAAGATCTAGCTAATTTAGCTGCTTCCTCATTGAGGAAAAACCTACTACTCTAACAATACAAAATAAAACACGAAATGTCCATTTGATTCGTTCAGCTGCTTCTCTGCCTGTTGGCTTTGGTACGGTACTGACCCGATCTGCCTCCCAGTCCCTCTTCGTCTTCTTTCGGATTAAACTGTAATCCACCGCAAGCGGATTTCCTACAACATGGCGGCATCAAATCGATAAGCGCACTGAATTATGGGTACTGAAGTGCGACGAACGTCTTACTGCCAAGCAGGTATTTTTAAAAACCCCTACAATTCCCGAACAACTTCACTTTTGACGATTTCTAGTTTGAAAAAGTGTTTGGTGTATGGGAAATGTATTTTATAGCGACGTCATCGAATTCGTGACACTCAGACTACACATTAAAAGCAACCTTGACGATAAGGGAAATAAACAATATAGATATAATGTAACTATATTTTGAATTATATAATATGATTTATTTAGCGAAATGGATCAAATAATGAGCCTTTTTTTAGAACGTTTTGAGTAGCGCGTGGGTTTGGACTACCTTTTTTTGTCCGGACAGTCTTAGGTTTGAATCCCAGAACCAGCAGTGTAACAATATCATCGTTTTGCCATTAATCCTGACGACGATTGTATTTATTTGTCTAACGGCGTGAAATGCGCGTACCCTCTATACCTTTACTTGGCATTTTATTTTGAACCAATTCAAGGTTCCTCTGTTGGCGATTTTTAGAGAAGATAGAATCTCGATCTGACCCTTCTAGCGTGACTAACAACCATGTCCCTTACACACATCACATTATCTCAGAGGACGAAATGTATTTCTGTCTGTTGCTTCTAATTCAAATTTAGAAGAAATTACCCAGAGATGATTAGTTGACATGAAAATGACTAGCTATATCCTGTAACATTTGTGGGTGGAGGAGGAATCCGGTGATAATTTAATTTTATAATTTTCCAGCAGATGCTTTCTCCAGTGAATATTGCTTATCGTAGAAGAACACTGCTTCTAACTTGTATATAGGTAAATAATTCACAACAAATATGTTGATTAAAGCTGTTTTACCTCTTGGATTCAGACCTCGTTTTTCATTAGCATAGTTCTTTACTGAAACACTAAAATCGGAACTGAAAAAAGTCCCTTTCGGGAGGTTTTACAGGCCTATAATATGATACCATATTATACGACGGCTCTCTAGTTAATAGTTATTAGAAACTACTGACACCTACAGTACATAATGACATCTGCAGTCATATAATAACCATATAACATGAACTACATTCAGCGTTCCGTCCTTCTCTTCTATTTTGAGAAATATACAATAATGGTTTAAAAATGCAAATTATTCTTTCAGTTTACTATTAGGGAAATTTAATCTCACAAAACAAATTAAAAGTGTAATAAGCTTAAATCTACTCTTACGCACTGAAAGATGCATCATAGATATCTAAATACTGGTTTGTCACTTGAGTTAAGTACTGTAGATAAATAATATTCATATTTTTTATTTTTTTTTGGCTATGGCAACACCTTAACCCATTTCTGGTAAAAGTGCATCATTCCCAACACAGCTACTGGTCAGTGTTGAAGCTGTATATTTTTCATGTACAGTCGTAGCCAAGATTTTTCAGAATGACACAAATATTGGTTTTCACAAAGTTTGCTGCTTTAGTGTTTGTAGATCTTTTTGTCAGATGTTTCTATGGTATACTGAAGTACAATTTAAAGCATTTCATATGTGTCAAAGGCTTTTATTGACAATTACATTAAGTTTATGCCAAGAGTCAATATTTGCAATGTTGGTCCTTCTTTTTCAAGACCTCTGCAACTCGCCCTGGCAGGCTGTCAATCAACTTCTGGGCCAAATCCTGACTATTGGCAACTCATTCTTGCATAATCGATGCTTGGAGTTTGCCAGAATTTGCGGGTTGTTGTTTGTCCACCCACCTCTTGAGGATTGACCACGAGTTCTCAATGGGATTGAGGTCTGGGGAGTTTCCTGGCCATGGACCCAAAATGTCGATGTTTTGTTCCCCAAGCCACCTATTTATCTCTTTTGCCTTTGGGCACAGTGCTCCATCATACTGGAAAAGGCATTGTTCATCTCCAAACTGTTCTTGGATGGTTCGGAGAAGTTGCTCTCGGAGGATGTTTTGATACCATTCTTTATTCATGGCTGTATTCTTAGGCAAAATTGTGAGTGAGCCCACTCCCTTGGCTGAGAAGCAACCCCACATATGAATGGTCTCAGGAAGGACCATTGTTGACCACTGAGACCACTGTTGGCATGACACAGGACCGATGGTAGCACTCACCTTCTCTTCTCCATACAATCTTTTTTCTGGATGCCCCAAACAATTAGAAAGGGGATTCATCAGAGAAAATGACCTTATCCAAGTCATCAGCAGTCAAATACCTGTACCTTTTGTCGAATATCAGTCTGTCTCTGATGTTTTTCCTTGGAGAGAAGTGACTTCTTTGCTGCCATTCCTGAGCAAGCTCTGCACTGGTGGTGCCCTGATCCCACAGTTGAATCAACTTTAGGAGATGGTCCTGGTGCCTGCTGGACTTTCCTGGGCACCCTGAAGCTTACTTCACAACAATTGAACCTCTCCTTGAAGTTCTTGATGATCCAATAAATGGTTGATTTAGGTGCAATCTTACTAGCAACGATATGTTTCCTTGCAGGTAATCATGGTTAACAGAGGAAAAACAATTATTTCAAGCACCACCCTCCTTTTAAAGCATCCAGTCTGCTATTCTAACTCAATCAGCATGACAGAGTGATCTCCAGTCTTGTCCTCGTCAACAATCTCACCCGTGTTGACGAGAGAATCACTGAAATTATGTCAGCAGGTCCTTTTGTGGCAGGGCTGAAATGCAGTGGAAATTATTTTTTTTGGGATTAAATTCATTTTTATGGCAAAGAGGGGCTTTGCAATTAATTGCAATTCATCTGATCATTCTTCATAACATTCTGGAGTATTTACAAATTGGCATCATGAAAAGTGAGGCAGCAGCATTTGTAAAAATTCATATTTGTGTCATTCTCAAAACTTTTGGCCACGGCTGTAGAATTGACATTTTTTTGTCAGAACCTGCAAGATGATATCTCCATATAACAAACTGTTACGAGTTGCTAAGACTGCAGTCTCTTCGCTCAGTTTATCAGCATCTGCACTGGAAATGAAACTAATTTACCATAGCCTTCTAAGCTTCTTGTGTATGCTAATTAGAACGGTGACATATAATTTAATTACTGGTGCTTAGAAACTAACGCTCTTTATATTGTAGTTTAAGAACTAGGTTACAGCAGCAATATGGTTTATTCTATCTATAGGCCTATAAAGGGAGTAGCTTGAAAATAATATGTCCTTGAGTGATCATGGGTTACATTTTTGTGTGTCAGGATTTCAGTTATCATTTTTGTGCCGGGGCTCCATGGCAATTATGGCACATTAATACAGCACACTGTTGTGTTTCACAAAATACTGGTCTAGAGAACTATAGGGGGAAAAAATGCAGTACTGAAAATTGTTCCTCATTTTCTGATTGTGTAATCATGTCAAGAATAAAGACCCCCAAAATGTCTGTTTTTTTCCTTCTTTCTCACAGCCTTAACTTCAATTATTACTTCTTTTTTAGAAGAACCCATTAAATATAGGTCAGAAAAAGAGGTTAGACTTTCAAAACTGAATTCTGCAGCTCACTGTACTCATTCTACGTGTCCTGCCTTCTTACAGTCCCCTGAGATTCAACCACATAGATGGAAACATTCGCATGATGTGGCAGGAAGCTCCTGGACTTGTAGATACGGTGGACTTTCACACACCTCCTGAACCCTCTTTGTGGTGAAGGCCACTTCCCTTGTACAGAGAATGTAAAACAATGCCATCACAGAGAAGTGAGAATAAACCAGAGGCCTGTATCACAAAGCAGGATATCTTGCTTAGCCAGGTAACTTACCAGATTTAAGGTAGTCTGGTCTGAACATAAGTTAACGGAAATAAAGTCTGTTTAATCTGGGGTACCTTAAATCTGACAAGTTGTCTGGCTAAGCAAGAAATCCAGCTTCGTGATGGTCTTCTGGAGGGTGTTCCACAAAGCAGGATTTCTTGCTTAGCTGGATAACTTGACGGATTTACGGTATAGTCTGGGCTGTAAGTGAATGAAGATAAAGTCCATTTAGCCCAGACTGCCCTAAATCCGACAAGTTATCGGTCAACCAAGAAATTCTGCTTTGTGGAACATCCCCCTGATACCTGAATAATACACTGTGTTCCAAATAATTGTGCATGTTAAATTAACATTTTGGTTTTAGTTTTTCTGTGGACGTTTCTGCTTGTGTTGTTTCTCCAGTCTGTTTAGATCACTGATGTCAGTCTCAGACAGGTTTGATAATGAGTTTCCTAGGTGAGCCTAATTAAAGGGAAACTTTCTTAAGGAGGTTGTTCCACATTATTAAGCAAATCAGTTTTTATGCAGTATGGGGAAATAGAAGGATCTATCTGCAGATGAGAAGTGTGAAATGGTGCGATGCCTTGCGAAAGGAATGAAAACATTAGGCATGTCATGAAAACTTAAGCATGATCATTGTACAGTTAAAAAATTTGTGTGTGATTCAGAGAGGAAAGATGAGATAAAGGCATGTCAAGGAAAGTTTCTGTCAGGCGATTGCATCGTATTAAGAGAGCAGCTATTAAAAAACCACTGATGAGCAGCAAGCAGGTATTTGAAGCTGCTGGTGCCTCCAGAGACCCAAGAACCTCTCAATGCAGGATCCTCCAGAGGCTTGCAGCTGTGCATAAAGCTGTATTTCGGCCACCCCTAACCAATGCTCACAAGGAGAATCGTTTGCAGTGGGCTCAGAAATACATGAAGACTAATTTTCAAACAGTTGTATTCACTGATGCAGATGGATGGAGCTCTGGGTGGTTGAAGGATGCCCATCATGTCCCAAAAAGGCTGCAACATCAGCAAGGAGGTGGCGGAGTGATGATCTGGGCTGGAATAACAGGGAGTGAGATGGTAGAGGCTCCTTTAGAGTGCCTGAAGGTGTGATCCTGCCATGGTATAAAAAGAAGCAAAATCATTTTCATGCAAGACAAAGCGCCACCATCATCCCCCGACTTCAACCCTATTGAGAACCTGTGGAGCGGGAGATCTATGAGGGTGGATGGCAGTAAACCTGCAAA